CCAAGCCAAGGGTTGAGATCCCCTTACCGGTCATCTTTTAAAAAAAAAAAAAAAAAGAATCTCTCCCTAAGCTGGCACAAGTGAGGGGCAGAGTCCCTCTCCCAGCTGCTGGGAGAAGTGGCCAACACTCCAGGCCTAAAGTGCATCCTCTTGGAGGGGTCCCTGATGACGCCTGTGTTTGTGATAAGTTGGGAAAGTTGTTGGGAAACATCAACACTGCCTATGTGGCAGATCGGGCCTGCTGTGCCTTGGAGGTGGGGCTGCCCAGCTGTGTTGGCCTCTAGGCGGGCAGGGGTCTCCCCAGAGGACCAAAAGAATGCAGAGCCTGGGCCCTGGGTACACGGGTGGTGGGCTGGGCAGCAGAGGGTGGGGGCCTTCCCCAGGCAGGGAGGGAGCTCCCCTCCTCCTCCAACTGCTGGCCAGAGGAGGGCAGGACCCCTGCTTTGGCACTTACTGGCTGGGTGGCCCTGGATAAGGAGCTTCCCCTCTCTGAGCCTTAGAATCCCCACTGGGGAAAGGGTGGTTGTGAGGCCTGAACGAGCTCCTGTAGCTCTGTCTTGCCCTAACCTTTGTGTTGTGACCCCTGCCGCTCCATGCTAGATGGCTGCTGGGCCCTGAGACAGACAGATTCTCACCCAGCTTGGGCCCGTGGGAAGCGTGTGGCCTTGAGCAAATTGCCTCACCTCCCTGAAGCTGGGTTTACGCAACTGCAAATGGGCATTATGATACCTACTCTGCAGGGTGGTTGTGAGAATCAAACAAGTGTGTACAGAGCATCTAGTGCAGCAGCTGGCACTGGAAGGGGCAGTGGAAATGGGAGTGGTTTTTGAATGACCGAGTNAGTGCAGCAGCTGGCACTGGAAGGGGCAGTGGAAATGGGAGTGGTTTTTGAATGACCGAGTGCATTGGAGTCAGAATTCAGGGAATTCTCTGTGCCTGGGCACTCCTCCCCGCAACGCGAACTCTCCTGCCTTTGGGGTCCGGGCCTCTCCATATTCCCACATGATCAAGCTGCTGGGGTCTTGACTGTCACCTTCCCCAACTCACCCTGTCACGTCTCCCTGCCTTTAGTCTTCCTGCAAGGAGAATCCTTTTAACCGGAAGCCATCGCCTGCAGCATCTCCAGCCACAAAGAAGGCCACCAAAGGACCCAAGCCAGTGAGGCCACCTGCCCCAGGACATGGCTTTCCACTCATCAAACGCAAGGTACCGGGCTTCCCGAGGCATTCTTAGAGAGGCTGGGTGTCTGGGCAGCATCCCTCACATATTAAGAGGGGACTGTTGGGTGGCCTAACTGGAGGGTTTAACTTGCAACCAGAGGGACTTAAGACAGATCGGCTATTTGCAACCGAGCAGTGGGTGGTGCATTTAACTTGTTACTAACAATAGTCCAGGTATCAAGGCTCTTATATGATGTACTTCTACTTAAACAGAGTGTTCTAGGGCCGGCCCATGGCTCACTCAGGAGAGTGTGGTGCTGATAACACCAAGACCGTGGGTTCGGATCCCATATAGGGACGGCCGGTTAGCTCACTTGGGAGAGCGTGGTGCTGACAA